CAAATCTAAGAAGGGAGATAATTCCAAGTAGAGAATAATTAATAAAAAACAGACAAACAAAAGGGCAATTAATTTCTCAGTAACTGTTTCCTTTTTGATAGTGCAAGCATAAAGGAAATTTAAGAGTGATAAGTGCTACTGTTACTCACATCTTAGTTCTGCAATTTAGGGCTGCTACTTTGTCTCCAATTAATTTAGCTTTGTTCAATTTTTTAAAAAATCTTGATTCTTACCCATCTGGATTTGGAAGAATTAAATGTTTATGTTCAAAAATATTTGTTCAACCTCTTGTCAATCGATCAAAATTTCTTTTTTCTGTTATTGTGCTGACCGTACACAGTAGTCTAATCAGCCTCTTGTTTTTAACAACACTTTTATTAATGTTCTGCAAACCCTATTATTACTGGTCTCATGAAAACACAAATAGTAAAAGAAACTAAAGCTATCTGGTTTCATGCTTGATCTAAAGATAAATAGCCATTTGTAGAAATTCTTGCAGATTTAGTGTACTGTATATTATGTTTGCCAATTACTTAAGGAATGGGACAGAGTTATATTTTTAAGTACATTCTGTGCATCTATTCTGACCTATCAGAAATCTTTTTGACCCCTTAAAAACAGAGACAACTCATTTCTCAAAATCTTAATATTGGCATTACAGTATTTAATTTTCTAGCCCTATGTATGTTTCTTCCTGTATATGAGCAAGTATTATTTTCCAATTACATTATTACATTTTCCCACAAACACGGTTGCCTGTGTCGTAAAACTACTTCCTTATGAGGAATACCGATAGCTTAGAGGTGCTGGTATTGGACAATACAATTTTTTAAATTGATTTTTTTAAAACAATATTTTTCTCACAAATCTTCCACTCTAAAATTAATGATTGATAAGGAATTTGTGGCAAAACTGACAAACCCTGACAAAGTCTCAGTCACATTTTAAATTAGTGGGACATTCTTTTAGAAAAAAGTAGGAAATGTAGAATTTTTAAGAATGATTTGTAGCATGACTTAATTTTCAATTATGTGAGGTCTTATAATATTGTGTAGATTTCTATGTAATTTCTTCAGATTTACTGAATATTCAGCTATGTTGGATAGATTAGCTTCCTTTCAGAATATAAACTAATAACTTCTCCCACTTATTTATTTTTTTAGGTGATATATGTTTAAGATTTTTTTGGGTATAGTCACATTTCATAACATTTATACATTTGTGCTGAATACTTTTACATATCCTTTCAGTTTTTTAATGTAATTTTCTACTAAGTTTGCTTCTTTTCCTCTTTGAAGTAATAGAGTATATTACAAAATGGATTTTTGAGCAGTTTATTATAGTTATTTTTTATCAGATTTTATCAGTTCTTTTTATCATCCATTAATAAAAGTTTATCACAATTATTTGTCTGTTTATAGATATATATTACAATACTGGTTGGGCATATCTTTTATTTTAAGATGAAGATATTTTCATATCTTAAGTCTTTAATGTCAAGAAAACATACAAATAGCAAATCACTTGATTTGTAAAATTAAAAATAATAAATGAATTCATTAGTTCCTTCACAATATCAAATAATTATTTCACATACTTGCTTATGCTGTTTGAAATGTACTAACCAATAGAATCCTGCAGCCCATTTATAATAGCCTGAATAAATACAAATAGTCTAAATCAGTCAGCAAGCCAGTTGTTTTTTTTTTAGTAATGAAGTGAAATACAAACATGCCAATGTTTATTATTCTTCTGATACATTGTTTTTTCTGATGATAATTAAGACTTAAAATTGCTACTTTCTCTTTCAGCAAATCTAATAATTTAAACTAATGAATATCATACATTTTGTAATTTTGATCCTTGTTAAATCTGTCAGCTAATTTTGCGCTGTATGTTGAAAACCCTGTAACTTTTCTCCTTTGTTAGAATTTCTAATATTCAGCCTCTTCCAATCTGTCTTTCATCTTTACCCTTATCACTGCTCATAACTCTAGGTTGTTGTTTTTTTTCTTAATGTAGACTAACTTTTAAAACTGCACCATTCAGTTTTAATTTTATTTTCTTCTCTAAAATTTATTTTTTTCTCATTTCTTATGTTTTACTAATATCACCGTGTGTACCATTATCTTATAGTTTAAGCTGCCTGAAAATTTCACCTGTCTCCTTTGGAACTCTACCTGCAAAATCTCATTTTTATATGATTATGTTTAGTGGGGTTTTACTTGGACCCCTATTACAAACATTAGCAATTAATAATTGACTAACAAATCAAACTGAAGTATAAATTTTCATTGCATTACAGCATTGACATTGAAATCAGTAACAAAATTTAAACTTTACCATCTAAACTTTACTTTCTATTCTACATTCAGATAGCATTTGTGTTATTTTTACAGTTATAACCCATTATAGTTCACATTTTATATATATTGTGAATTTCACATTTGAAGGGAATTCAAGAAAGATCACTATTGCCAAAATTGTAAATTACAAATGCCTCTTTTTAAAAATCCTCTGTTGCTGTATTCTTAATATCATATTACTTTGTAGCATTATGTAAGAATATATATATATATATATATGTACACACACACACACACACACACACACACACACACACACTGGAATTTTGGTGGTAGATAAATCACTTAATTGAATAAATAAAAACTTATGTGTGCCAGTAAATTTCTCACTAGTTGTGAAAACAGTCTTCACTGTTAGCTGTCTAATAAATTCTAATAAGTGCTTTTAAAATTCCTTTTTATAATAGCTGACAATTAATACGGATTACATTTCTGAACTCCGGTGTCCTGTTCTGGCATTCTTTGAAGGACGGTGCTAAGCAGCTGCAGTTTTAATGCTGCTGCTGCCGTAATTTCCAACTTTATACAGTTCTTCACCAGGGCCACGTATGAAAATGGATCTCTGCAGCTTACCGTGTTCCTCTTCTGTCCATTCCGCCCACAAAAAAGTTGAAAGCTAACGATCTGCCACGGGGACCTCCCACGTTTTATCTCTTTGAAATAAGATTGCCAGGCACCCTTTGCACAGGATGGCTATAAGTACATAAAATTGCTTTTGTCGAGGGAAGGCGGGGGGGACTTAATGTAGCTCGAATGGACTTTTCCATTGTACCCAAATAGGAGTAGATAAGCACTGACCATTCTTCTTTTTTAATTTGGGGATAAAGTTTACTAATGAAAGCATTCCTTAAACGTGCGCTTCAAAAATGTGTCTGGGAGCAAGCAGCGTCGGCTTCATAAGACTTTGACACCATTGTATTTCTGGATGGAAGGTGTCAGCTTTGGAAGCCTTTTAATTGTTTTACCTAATCTACTTTAATCCAACTCGGTTCTTTCCAGATTTAGCAGAAGCTCTCCGCATTACCTCTTCATCATTAGGCAGCGCTTAATTCATCGCTTTCTTTATTTTCTTTGCTGTGGCCAGATTACTAATAACATTTTACACTGACTATAAGAAAGTTCACTGGTGTGGTCTATAATCCTCCCGCTCGTCCATTCAGAAGCAACCAAGAATGAGTAAGTGCTCTAGACACCGAGGGGCAATGGATGTGGCAACTGGTGCTTAAGACGGGAAATGTCCATTATTAGCACATTCCCAGGAAATGCTGTTCAGATTATCAGGAGGAAATGTCAGGACATTTAATAATCACCCTTGAGGAATTTAGTGTTAAGGGTAGATGCCCTTCTTCACCACCCTCCCATTTTCTTCCAAGTGTTCATTGTGTCCTTTTGGATGCCGAAAACAAGCACCGAAGCTACATAAGGCAACACATGCTTCACTTCTAATGTTTGTTTGGGTGTGTTACTAAAGCTAGTGTACACTTGTTTCTCCACATTGCACATTTATAACAGTTATCTGGGATTGGAACATATACTACTGTCAGAAGGATGTGTTTATAATGGAGATTGACTTGGGAATTGTGTTTTGATGTCTTTTTATTTTGCCTTGCAGTTGGTGTGGATTTGTTTTTTGTGCAGCTATGGTGTATACAGCTCTGTTGTACAGCACCTAATTTTTTGAAGGATCTTTCAGGCTTACTCTCTGGTGTCCCACAAAAATGATTTCTTAGGTTGAAGCACTAGGATCCATCTCATTTGCGTTTACCAGTAATGGACTGTCTGATAGCTTAACTAAAAAGTAAAATGTTTCCTATTAGGACAAAAAAACGACCTGTTTTCCTTGTTCCCTTCTGGGAGGAGGGGGCTTTTGGTATCCATAGCAGAACATCCAGATTCAGCCATAGATTCATTCCATACAGCATTAACCTTGTGAACTCTCAAGCGTCCTCCTTCCGTTATATATTCAAGATGGGCAGTAGTTAATATTTATTTGTTACATACATGTAGGGTTGTGGGTCTATACCAGTGGTTCTCAACTTTTTTAATGCCGCGACCCCCAACCGGTCGTAAGTCGAGGACTACTCAACTGATGCAGCACCGTTTGCAGAATGGGACTTTTGGCGGGCTCAGCAGGGCAGAGATAGCCTGGACAATTCCTATTGGCTTTTGAAAGCCAATAGAATTAGACTCTGTTCAAGAGAGTCTATTCTATTGGCTTTCAAAAGCCAATAGAATAAAAGGGAGTAGCACAGCTAAGGAAAAGGGGAAAAAATGGCGGACTGCATTGTTTGGCGACCCCTGTGAAATGGTTGCCATTTCACAGGGGTCCTGACCCACAGGTTGAGAACCACTGGTCTATATATATGTTGTACATAGTATGTTTAGCTGTGTGTCATGTATGTGTTTCACTTTGAGAGCGGGCAATTAAATTTCATTTTTGATGTGTGCCGTTGTGCCCACAGTAAAAAAAAAATGACAATAAAGGTTATCTTATCTAAAAAAAAAAAAAAAACCCCTAACTGTTCTGTTTTACAGTTTGGCAGCTTCTTGTCTGTTTTTTTTTTCCAATTACTCTTTTTTTTTTTAATCCACAGCCTGGTAATGAGTTATTAATGCTTGTGTCTCTTTTTTTAGGGCAGCCTCGGAACTTGCAAGATCTCTGTCGAATTAAAATCCGCCAGTGTATAGGCCTTCAAAACCTCAGACTTCTTGACGAACTACCAATTGCCAAGGTCATGAAAGACTACTTAAAACACAAATTTGATGATATCTGACCATTTGCAAGATTTGGACAATAAGCAGGATTAGTTTGTATTCCAGATACCTTTCAAAGGCTGGTCACCTTGCACAACGTATATCCTATGCAATTTCTGATTTTTTTTTTTTTTTCCCCCTGAGAAGTCAGAAGGCAGGTATACAATTCCTTTTGGGTGGGGCAGGCGGGTGGGTGGAGGGGCCTGTTTTATACCAAATGCTAGAAGGTCTTAATTTGGGGGGGGGGTTGTTTTTTGTTTTGTTTTGAATTCTTGGTCCAAGTTTACAAGATTCAAGCTTTGTATACGACGTTACAAATAAGGGGTTGGGTTTTATTTTGCAGGGGGGGACACGTGGTTTTTTGTTTTTGTTTTAGCATCACTTTTAAGAATGAAGAAAGAACATTGCTTGCTCAGAGGAAGTCTTCCCCATCCCTGTATAGCATGTGTAATATTTGCGAAGTGCTGAATGAATTCTAAACCAAATAAGGATCAGGCTTAAGAGCACCATCTACGTGGTATTGCGATTGTATTTCTCTTATTGGTAGAGAACCCTAGGCAGATCCTGCTGCAAAGAACAGTTTCTGTAGCAACACTGATTGGTGGATTAAGCCCTCTAGCACTATTTCCACACACAGACACATACACACACACACACACACACACACACACAGAGAGAGAGAGAGAAGACCAATATGGCACCTATTTTACGCTTCATTAGTGTTGACAATTGATTGGATTCCACATGGACGTAATTTTCTGCCCACAGGGTTGTTTTTTGTTTTTTATTTTCAGAATCATGGCTCAGGCATGTAAGTAGAGTGTTGAAAACATTGCCACCTTCATTTTTTTTTTTTTAAAAAAAATTCAAGTTAGATCTTTTGCATAATTATTGTACTTCTTACTCTTCCTTTCATGCCAGTATTGAGTGGACTGCTGTTTTTAATTAGGTTTTACACTGCTCAGATACCGTTTAGGTCTCTGTGCATTACAAAAACATTAACAGAAAACAAATTTAATTTCCAAGATGACATATCCTGTTTCCATATAGTGCCTCAAGTGCAATATAATCTATCTGTCTTATTTTTATTTCCTTTATCACACATGTGACTTTCACACATTCCTATCCTGACCTCAATGTGATGTTTGTTACTATTGGAATTGCTGCTTTATAAGGGGTTTTCTTTTCTTTTTTCTTTCTTTTTGTTTGTTTGTTATCCCCACCTTCGTTTCAAAGACATCCAGTTTCAAATGCCGCAGCTCACATTTGAGCTGTCATTTTTGTTTTTTTCATACAACAGGCTAATTTATGGTTTTCTCAGATCACAATCCAAGCTAGCAGTTTGTTTTTAATTTTTTTTTTAAACAGGATCCATAATTTGTTTCTCTGACATACTTCCAGCTGCTTTGACGCTAAACAGAGCCTTAGGCTATTGCAAACCTCTCCTTAACTTATTCAGGACATGTGAAAATCATTCACAATTCAAAATACCTGCAAATTGTGAACTATACATGCACCGATCTCTGAACTATCAACCGGAAGCTCTGTAAAACTCAGTTGATAGTCAGCCTGTGAACTCTGTGCGTATATTTCACTTTTCGTAGGTAGGTTGAACCTCAAGTGGTTGACTATATATTCAGTACACAGCTAACATCACCGCTGTGCCCTTTCTGAAGACCATATTCTCTCTGCTAGGAAAGCAATTCCTTAATATGGCTACAGCCAATTTCTTGATAGCTTGAAACTAATCCTTGATTACAGCTGAGTTCTCAATATCGGCTCCCGCGGATGTCTTAGATCAGTGGTTCTCAACCTTTTTAATGCCGCGACTCCAGCGGTCGTAAGTCGAGGACTACTCAACTGGTGCAGCACCATTTGCAGAATGGGACTTTTGGCGGGCTCAGCAGGGCAGAGACAGCCTGGACAATTCCTATTGGCTTTTGAAAACCAATAGAATTAGACTCTATTCAAGAGAGTCTATTCTATTGGCTTTCAAAAGCCAATAGAATAAAAGGGAGTAGCACAGCTAAGGAAAAGGGGGGAAAAATGGCGGACTGCGTTGTTTGGCGACCCCCGTGAAATGGTCGTTCGACCCCAAACGGGGTCCCGACCCACAGGTTGAGAACCACTGTCTTAGATGCATCTCTTATTTTACGAGAATTGAGATCGTTACAGAAATGGGATTCTGAATGGTCCTCTATCAACATCTATTGATCTCGAAACGTGAAGTGTTTGGATTTTAGCTCAGATTTAGCTTGGATTGTGTTGCAGAAACCCTGCTGGTTTTCATGCTTGAGTGTTTCAAAGTTTTCAGGCATACACGTGTACCCCTCACCCCATGTATCAGTTTTACCATATAATCAATCCGTAGTTCATAGGAGCAGCACTGCATCCCTTCAGATAAAGATCTTTCTTCTTGCTTTTAGTGGGTTTTTAAGAAACAGTGATAAGCAAGGGAATTGTTGCCTCCAATTTAGCCTTGGCTTTATAAAAGCAAGCAAGAAGCTGATGGCTCAGTATATAAGGTAACAGGCTAATAGCACTTTCCCTCCCTTAAATACTTCACTGTTTGCTAGAAGTAAGTGCAGCGATTGCTTGAAATGGCCTATTAATTTATTTTTTCCTTTTAAGTTATACCATAGCCAAGTCAAGCGTGCATTTGATAATACTAGATGTAAATGCAGTGCTATAGGCAATAAGATACCCATCTTCACATCAGCAAATAGCATTGTTACGTTCCAGTCTTCTGAGAAATGTTTAACCCTCCCTCCAGTGGTCAATCTCTTACAGTTTTTAGGTACTTTCAATCCAGGTCCAATCCAGAGGAAGTAAGTTGTGAACTGGCACAACAGATTTGCAGGTCTGAATCAGTTCGCTTGATCTATTGCATTCTTGACATCCCAGTTATCTCTATGGATGCCGAGATCCATTATAAGATGACTTTTAATTCTGTCTTGCTGCTGTGACTTTCAGAAAATATATAAATGCCATGCTGATCACAAAAGAGCTATTTAATGGAATATATAACTCCTTTTTTTATTTATTTGTTTGAGCTTTATGTTTTGGTTTCTCCCCATGTTTTAATCCTTAAGTCGTTTTTTATGAAGTACCTATTGAGTTACCGGTCTAAAAGTCCTAGACACCCACTCTGCATGCCTTCCTGTCTGTGAAACTGTGTTGGAAAGTTTAAGGCAAAGAGGGAAGGTTGAACTTTGGGTCCCAGTTGTATAGAAAATTAAGCACTTGAGTTATTTAATAACTGGGTAGTCACCCTACCTCTTTAGTTTTAATGTTCAGGGAATTCCACAGCATATGTACTGTGCTAATTTGAGGCTAAGAAGACAGAATGTACCCTATACATGCATACCTCTGTAAAAACTCAACTGGATGAAGGGTTACGAAACAGTAGATGTTAACTTATTTGATCCAACTTACTAGACTGCCAATTTGAAGAAGTGTATAATAATTTATAAAAAAAAAATTATGAGAATTTTCTATTAAATGTTTGGGCTTAAAATAAGGAAAAAAAATGAGCATCTGTGCTGGGCCTGTTATCTCTTCTTGTATGTTTGTCAACTCTTAATGAACAGAGATTGCCAAGCACACCAAAGAAATGGACAAGAAATGGATCATTAGGAAACCACAAACCTCATTCTTTTGAAAACAGCTAGAGTTTTTTGTAAATATTTATGTTTATAGATGTACAGCAGAGTGTGTTTTTCTAGATTATTTAATTATCATATTTCTAATCTATTTACAATATTAGATACCATATTTGTTTGTTCCAAAGGCTTCTGTTTGGATTGCAATTTGTTCTCTTTCTCTCTTTCTCTCTCTCCCTTTGCTTAATTCATTACTCATGCAATGAAAAACTTTGTCCTTCTGAGGACAGCATGAAAATATAGTAGCCAAATATTTGTTAATATTCAATACTTTTATATAACACAAGGGAAAAGACCCCAATGTGGGAGTAACTTTAGTCCCTACAAATTGTGGCTTACAAATAAGAGGACACCAACAAAAACATACACTTCCCATAAAATTCCCAATTCCTTCCCCCATTAAGGCCTTATTATACTAATGCAAAACAGGCTTCCAACCCTATTTCAGATTCTAGTTAAGAGCTGAATCTTGGCTTATGATTAACCACACTTAGCAGTAGTATAGACGTAATGCTAAGCTTTGGTTATGGCTAAGAATAGAAGGGCAAGAAAGTGTGTAAGGAGATCAGATTCCTAATGTACTAATCTTGTTTATCAGGGAACCGGTGGTCTGCCTGAAGCTTTGAAAGTTCTCTTGAAGAAAATAGGTCATTTTTCTGCTCCAGCAAGCTTCTGTTCGTTTCAGTCCTGTAGGACTTGAGATGGAGGCTTCCTTAGTGGTGCCATCACGTGCTTGTCAGGTTGCTACAGTGAACCAAGAGAATTTGAGACCTCAGACTGGTCAAGTCACAACTGTCACTGTGGGAAGGATAACGTACAATTTTGTCTCCTGTTCTGTCTTCCATGCAGCTCTCTCCATGTTAGCAATTTCATAATATATTTTGCTTTTCCTTTTGTAATGTAAGGCTTTCCATTGGGTCATTTTGAATTAAAATAATTTCCCAATTCTTTTAAATTTGGTCATCTCTCTCTCTGACTTTCTCTCTCTCTCTGTCTCTCTCTCCCTCCCTCCCTTCCGCGCCCCCCCCAATTAATTCTTTAAGCAGGAATATTTTGTACTGTAAAGATGGAGAAGTGCCATCTCAGTGCCTGTCTTTTAGAAAATTATTAGTTGGATTTATGATTTAATTTTATTATTTATTGAACATGGATTCAGCAAGTATGATCATCTACTTCAGAGCTGATATTTCACTGCTATCAAACTTATGATGTTCTCAGATCTGGAAAGCACTTGTGTTCTGATAATTTGAGCAACTGACTACATAAATGGAATAAATTGATTTAAATTAGTGGTTTAAATTGCCAGTATGAAATGTGAGTTCGACTATTTGATTTAAATCCTGATCCTTCATTTACTAAAAGCTTTCCAATTAAAATAGTGTCCTGACATTACTGTAGTTATGAAAATACTTAAAACTGACGCCCCAAAGTGGACTTTCTTTCAAGATTATAGATTGTATGTGATGGTTGCATATTTTTAGGAAATATTATTAGACAAACACAACACAACTGTTTTTATTAAGCTTATTTTGTTCCCATAGCACAGTGATCATCGTTCAGTCCTAGAGATCGCCATTGTGGAAATCAAGATATTATGTGGTACAGAAGGTAAATATCCATGATATGTGAGAAATGAGTCAGTAGGAAACTTGTACTATTTAATTGTAGCAACAAAAATGTCCTTGTCAATTAAGGGGACTTGGCAACAACTATGATCACACAGTCAAATAAGGGGACTGGACAACAACTATATCAGATCCTGGCTGCCACTATCAAACCATGATGTAGGTTCACAAACAATGGCACTGTATGGTTGCTGCACATGGATTCCACAGATACTCTTGAGCTATGAGGGAATCGTGTTCAGATGGTGCCTGGGTCAAATAAGCTTTCCGTTTAAAACAGGCTATCAAAACAGGAGCTGTGGTGGTGCAGTGATTAGAATGCAGTATTGCAGGCTAACTCTGCCCACAGTCTGGAGTTTGATCCTGACGGAGGCCAGATGCTAACTCTGTAACCTGCTTAGAGAGGGCTGTAAAGCACTATGAAGCGGTATCCAAGTCTTAAGTGCCACCCATTGCTGTAAACATATTGGAATTCCTCACAGACACACACACAAAAAGGCATGCAAACCTCCATTTTTGATGTAGCAACTGCTCTCTAGATATATCGGAATAAAGTGTGGGAGAAGGTTGCTGATTCAGATCAGAGACATTTCTGTTTACTAGCCTTAAAGGGCTCCAAAAGATTTCATCCTGCTTTTCTTATTTCCAAGTCTCTTATCTGCGTGCTTTCTACTTGTCTGGGATTCTCTTCCTCACCACTTCAGCTGAAAAAAGCTTCAGAAAAGATGACTAATTTGAATAATTATTCCCTACTTTCAAGGTTACAGTCTAAAAGAAGAGAACACCTGTATCCTGGCAGTCAATATCTCAGCTGCTCAGTGGCTTTGCTCTCAGCTAAGCAGTTCTTCTATCTTTGCAGCTTCACGTCTTAGGCATTGTCAGGCGTGCCTGAAATACTCCCATGAGTTGGATGTTTTCTTCTATATCTCTTTCCCCCCAAGATGATGTTGGCTTTTTATATCACCAGAGCGGAATGCAGAAGTATTAGTATGATTATAACTAATAATACAATAAATTTTATATATATATATCTGAAATAGCCACGTGGCATGTTTTTGTTCCCATTCACAGGAGACTTTTGCAGTCTTCTGAAAAAGCAAAAAAGAAACACCCCAGGCACGTATTTAAAAAGCAAAAGCATAAAATAATGAACTAAGCAGTAACCCTTTTGTAAAAGGAATAATTCTGAACTGCATAATACAAAAATAGCAGGAAGCAAAATCAGCTTTTGACCTGTTTCTGAAGTGATTGGCATGTTTTGTGGCACCATTTGATACTTTAAGTGAAAGATTACTTTGTGTAAAGTATATTGTATTTCAAAGTGTTTTTGTTACTTTTAGTTGCCCTTTTAAGATCTGTGAAGTATCTTCCCATATATTATAGAAAAGGTTGAAGGACAATGAGGCTGAACTTCTTTTAGTCAAGACACTGATATTCTATCCAGGGGTGAGAAATTACAGACCAGATTAAAAAAAAATAATAAGGATTTCTTTGTTAATATTTTAGATTTTCCTAGCATGAAAAATATGTAACAGATACTTGAAGCTATCATCCAATTAATAAGCAAACTTTTTTTATTTTCTTTAAAGAACGAGCCAAAGCTATTTCACAAAACCAACCTTTTTTGGTTCTCTTGGCAAAATATTTACACAATTCCTACTGGTTTACTAAGACCACACCATGAATTATGCTCTAGTTTCTATATAGTATTTCCTGTGTTCATTTCTCAGCCGAATGCGTATTGTTGTTTACAGAAATGGTAGACCTGCAAGCTGTTAATGAACATTTTATCCAAGTGGTAACACATTTCCTCTATAAATATATTTGGCTTCCATTGTATAGAAATTGGTTTGTTTTCTGATAATGAGTTTTCTAATGAGGCATGAGTACTTTTCTGCTTTTTGGTGTAATTAAACTGTTGGGGGGGATTTATTTTACGTTTGCAATTACAGAAACGTGGTTCAGCTGCTGAGGAGCTTATAGTTTTTAAAACAAAGATGATCAGCCAGCATCAGAAGACTTGAATTTGATATCAAGCATCCTATAACAAATATTCCAATATTTTAAGGTTGAAATTTTCTTGAGTTTGTTTGCAATAGCCGAGTCTGAATGTACAGTATATACTCTTATAGTATTAATCATTTTCAGAAGACTCGTGTTGAATTCAACTCTTGGTCAGGAATTTGGGGGTCACTCGTGAAGTTTTCTTGACAATGGTGGAGAACTGGCTTTTGGTTCCATTTGGGGAATTATTTCCCCCCCAAACTTCTCTACCTAGTTCTGAGCCTTCCTGGTGATCTCGTGTAGAAATACTATAACAATAGAAATATCATAGAAATACAAGTCTGCACTAACAGGACTTAGCTTTTCCAAGATCAATCAAGGTTGTTTAGGTGCTGTACTAGAGAAACTTTTTAAAGTATCATATATTTCTTACTGTTTTGATGGTATTCCCTCCCCCCACACATACCCACATTGCATTATCTTATGCATTTCTGTCACACATGAGTGTCCCTTACCGGATTTGACTTGTTTTCTAAAGAAAGTGTGTTATTATTACCTCTTATCACAAAATAATTGCGTCCATTTTTTGCTCATCCAAGATACCCCTTTTCTGTTTTTACAATATTTCCCAGGATATGCTGGTAGAACAGGGTCATATGACTGATTTTTACAAAAGACCTAATCATATTGATAGCTTTGTTATCAGTTAACTAGTACTTAGGGTTTTAACCCTGTAAGGGGCACACTCTCTGAATTCACATTTTCCATGCATGATTTGATATACCCCTTAGCCACATAATGTTTAGATGCACAAAGTATTTCTGCCTGTGTTTTGCAGAAGCTCCTTGTCAGAGCACATTAGGATTGTGACTTTTGAAATTCCCTCTATATTTCAACCTGCTTCCGTCCTTTTAAATCTTGGAGATTTTAGATAAAGCCCAAAACATTACGTACATGAAATGAATGAGATTAGTTTGGTTTCTTCTGCAATTGGTTCAATATCTTCCCCCCAACCACCATTTTGCGTAGCTTGACTGAGCCACTGATGAGGCAAACCAGGAATCCACAGGGACTCCTCTGCTGTGCTGAACAGATAATGGCTGAGGTTTCCCTCATGCCATTTTCCCAATCTTTGTGGGATGAGGCACTGTGGCTATGTTGTCACTCTTCGCCGACTGAAAATGAGTACAATGGCATGAGAAGTGGTCCATGTAATTTAATTCTCCTGCCTTATTTTCTATGAAGCAGTTTCCTCATTCTCAACATGCCTCCCCTTTTCTAGGCTGGGTGGTTGAGTTCTCAGCAGATGACAAGTTTCTGGAAGAAAATAAGTAACCAGTCAGCATTTTAATTAAATGTGATGACCCATACTTTGGGATAATGATCTGCCTGAGAAGTTACCGTCTCCAAGGGTGAATGAACCGGGAACACTGTTGGATGGCTGCTGCAAGCAGACCCATACCTCAGTGGTGAGCTTGGGGAGTCCTCATTTCCTTTTGGGGTTCTCATTTCCTCCGGGGCAGAAAAGGTTTTTTTGGGGGGTCAACCTTTTTTTTAGCAGGAGGTATGAAGGAGCAAACGAGGCTTGCAAAACTCAAGGCCCCCATTTTGCTCCTGAGCGCGCTCTTCCAATGGCTTTTTGGAGAATGACATGCCACAGTGATCCTGGCGTGGTCCTCAAGGCTGATCAAAGTTGTGTTAATTGCGTGAAGCAGCTTCATTCCTATGGATGGAGAGGTGGATACTGCTCTCTTTCAATCCTATGAGAAAGAGAGAAAAAGAAAGAGGAAAAAGGAACAAAAAAGAAAGAGGAAGAAAAGGAAGGAAGGAAAAAGAAGGGAAGAAAGAAGGAAAGGGAGGGAGGAAAGAAATGAGAAAGAAAAGAAAGAAAGAAAAATTCACCCAAAATTGTCATCCACTGATTGCATATGATAGAAGCACTGAGCTTGCACTCACAAAATGTGCTAAGCCACAATCAGAAAAGGTCAGACTGATTTCATGGAAATGCACGAATCCAATCTGTAAACATAAGTAGAACCAGGATGAATCTTAACAAAAGGAAGGAAGGCTGTGACCATTTGACATATAGCATTATTTGTGGCCCAGATGTTTGGCAACTCTAGTCTTTATTTTTTAAGCTAGACTTGGGTAAAACAGGACAGCCTTTTGTAAAGAAAGTCCCTGGTCCTGACAATTGAGTTTCGGTACCCCTAGACAGCGAGCGTAAGTTGAGAGCTATCATTTAGACATGACTAACGCGTGCCCAATTACGAAGTCCCATAGATGGCTCTTGAATACACAGTGCTTTCTTACAAAGCAGTACATCTCTTTTGTTGATAGACTTAATTTGTCCTCCCCCTGCCCACCCCCACCCCCCAATGCACTGACAGCCTGCTCATTTTAAGCGATGTCCGGTCTCAATGCCTTGCCTGTTCTTGCCCTTTTAATTTTGGGTATTACACATCCTTTCTGTTTAGTCTGCAAAATTCTAGGGGCAACCTTTGCGGGGGAAGAATGATAAAGAAGGGTTTGTGATTGGCCTAAATGGCATCTGGGTTTTACTGTCTTCCCGGATGATGTGATGCTGTGTCTTTCGGAGGGCTTGTGACAACTGCAAGAAAAGGCAGTGACGAGAACCACAAGGATTTCTGGGTGTCATCTCAAAAAAGACGGGAAAGATGCATTTTAGAAACCTCCCAACATGTTAGACTTACCATTTCTTGGCAATGTTGGTAAGCAAAATGCAAGCAAGGCGTTTTGCTAAAATGACCACCACCTTAATTTTTCCTTTCCCCTCCTTTTTTTTTTTTAAAAAAAAATTTCTGTAGTGACATACAGGTAGTCCTCAACTTAAGACCACAACTGAGCCCAAAATTTATATTGCTAAGTGAGACAGCACAGTGATGAGAATGCAGCATTGCATTCTCACTGGCTAGAGCTTGACTAGGTTTCTATCCTTCCAAGGTCGGTGGACGGACGGACGGATGGACAGACAGACGATAGATAGGGAATATATCTCAGGACTAAAAATATTTCTAAATTTTCTCCCTCATAGGGAGGCCTTAATTTCATTGTGAGTTACACAACAACAATAAAGATATTCTATTCTATTCTATTCTACATTCCATATTCTATTCTATTCTATTCCATTCATGATTTTTCAAATTCGCCTCCCAAATCCTTCTTGCTCTGTTTCTTCCTACTATTGGACTATAATCTGGGAAGAAATATCCAGTGTTGCCACTATTGGACTGTTCCTACCACTCAACCCTCACAAGAACTTTTCGACTATATCATTTGGATAAAGTAGAAGTTAAATTGTAAGTGAGCCTCTTTCCTTGCTGTTCCTGGACAGTTGTTTCTTCTTGAACTGTGAGAAGGACTCCTGGAAGAAAGAGTTCCTCAGGTGCTGCATCATTTGGAACTTGATATTTACATTATGATAACAGCAATAATGGAAATGTATTCGTTCTCCAGCAAGCTGTCGGGGAAAGCAGTTTCTATGGAACTTCCCCACAGCAAAACCAGAAAGCGTCGCCAGGGAACAGTATGAATAAATGAGCATCTGTATGTCAAGGTTCTTCTGCATTCACGTTCTTCTCCCAAAACTAATTTCCTGTGTCTCCATCGCTGTGTTAAAAAAACTTGGCCCAAGGCAAACAGAAAAATAGACAATAACAGAGGGTAAACCCCAAAGACAAGAGGAAACCAGCCATGTCATCTACTTCCTGGAACATTTCAGTGATTCCGATAAAGGGGAATTCAGTGATTCAGCCAACACTCTCCTGCTCTTTTATTAACCATCAGGAACGGGTTCTGTGGAAGTTTTGTGTCCTGGGAAAGGACACATTGCACCACTTCGATTGCAATTTGAAATTCTGAGTCAGGAAGAATGAGTATGAATTTGGGACTTGGGGTTTCCCTTTTAAAGTAGATATGGAGATATTTCAGACACCAGGATGTGTGAGAGGAAATTGACACAGGGAGAAAGTGTAAAGTTATGAAAACAAAAGTGTTATGGTCAGCTATCACTGCATCCTGGGAGGAGAGTTTACATCGACTTAACTCACTTAAACTCGCCAATTCCTTCTTTGTGCTAGAAAGTGGAGCTAGTCCCCAGTTGCAGCTGCATCCAAGGTAATGCCAAAAGCATTGCTTAAAAAATTGATCCAGGAGCCCTTCCATTTCTGGTCCTCTGGCCCTCTTCCATTTCGACTGTTGCAACAGATCTCTCTTTTCATTGTCTAGCCCAAGCATTGGTGCCAACATTTTTCAACTCTTCTGTGATTATGACTCTTCTCCCCCTTATGTCCCTTCACTGGCTTCCACAAAAGCATCTTTACTATATCTGGAATGGAGAGGGTCCTGAATTAGGGAGGGTTTTGAAAAGGAATTTCAATCTTCTGCTCATCAATCTTCTGTTTGAATTGCATTGGTTTCAGCTATTCCTGGCCAAATGGGGAGAGGGGATAGTAAAAATGTAGGTGATTCCTCCTCCTCCTCCCTCCTGAATTTTCTAGAGAAAATTGGAGTTAACTTGATCAATCCTTTTCACATGACATACCGTAGTTGTCCAAGGAAGGATGCTTTGTTTGTTCTCACAAAACTAAAACTTGGTAGGAGGAAACAGTTACAGTAAAACGTTGCTTCCCTGGATCTCCATACAGCAAACTTCAAATGCAATGGTCACTCCCATTGTTTCCAAAGCAGACCGGACAATGGATGTCATTTAGGTCATTAGCATCGATTATGTAAAATCAGTTTGAATGGTCTTTCACTTGACCAATCATCCTTTTTACCCAAATAGCCCCTAAAATTGAGATGTTATTTTAACTTCCCAAAAAAGTAATCCCAAATAAGATTTTATTTCTTGCAATACAAAACCTACGGCAAGCTTAGGCCATCTTCAAAGGCATGAGCAATAATTTGTGGCCGATCACATGGTAAAGAAAGTGCTCCTAAGAGCGCAATGCTCTTCCAAAATGATGCAAGTATCTTGTGCATTTCACAATGGCATTGCAACATCGGCTGGATTTCCCCCCAAATCTCAAGAACCAGGACCAAGACTGTTCCAGGACAGCAGCTGGAGGAGTGAACAACTGTTCTGCAATAAGATAAACTCCACCTTCAGCCATCCTCACTTCGATGGGAAATCTTCAGCCACTGCTTCAAAGCTTCAGCAATGGAAAAATAGCAATAGCACTTAGAATTATATATTGTTTCATAGTGCTTGACAGCCCTCTCTAAGCGGTTTACAGAGTCAGTCTATTGCCCCCAACAACCAGGATCCTCATTTTGCTGACCTCAGAAGGATGGAAGGCTGAGTCAACCTCAAGCCACTTAGGATTGAACTCCTGGCTGCAGGCAGAGTTAGCCTACAATACTACATTCTAACCACTGCACCACCACGGCTTCTTTTGAGTTCCCTTTGCAAACAAACCAGGATAGAGAGATTTTTCAAGGATAACAATGATCAGATGAGGAAATGCCAAGCCACAGTAGAAACATATCAATATTCTATTCTGTTTCAAAAGCCGCCTCTAACTTGTGTACCCAACCAAATGGGTGGACTTCCAACTTCTACAGTCAGCCTAGCTGCTCATGAGAACTCAAAAAGCTGGACCCTGCACATGTCAAGATTGCTCAGGTTAGGAGCATCTGATATTATTTATTTCTAAACTGGCAGTATGGTGATCTTGAACACCCCTCCCCTCATCAGCTACTAACTACTAAGTTAGTCAATTCTCTTGGAGAAGCCTGAGTCTTTCCGTTTGAATATTAGTGGCAAGACTTTTATAAAATCACTAGATCCTTTGTATTGGCCAGAAAGCATAGCTTGAGTAGCAATACCAATAAATTTAGGCTTAGATAGATACCGCCTCATAGACAAAAGCTAGAAATGGCACAAAGAGCCATGGAAAGATGCATCCTTGGCATCACAAGACCAGATAGACTCACACATGGATTAGAGAACAAATATACACAACAAGTATACACAATCATTAAAAGTAAAAGAATTTTAGAGAGAAAGGAACATGATACGTACTATGTAACATTGAATATACACTAGTCAGAAGAAGACTATTGGGTGATTAACATACTGATTACAATAATATAGAAATTAACTCTTACTTATTGTTTTTTAAATACATGAAGCCAAACAATGTGCTGTTTGCTAAATATTAAGAATGTTATTTTAAAAAACCCCAACCCTAACCTTAACCCTAACCCTATAAAAAATAATAAAATATATACAAGAGAGAGAGAGAGAGAGAGAGAGAGAGAGAGAATTGAAATGGAAATGGAGAGAATTGAAATGGAAATGGGCTGGTCACATAGCAAGAAGAACCGAGGGCAGCTGGACCAAGGCAGTCATAGAATGGATCCCACTTGATCAAAAGCATCCATGAAAGAGACCTGAAACAAGATGGATCAATGACATCAGCAAGTATGGGGGGCCCAATTGGCAAAAGAAAGCTCAGGACCATAAGAGTTGGAAACATGAGGAAGAGGCCTTCATGCTGCAGTGGAGAGACAATGGCTAGAATGATGACGATGATGATGGTAACCACCTCATAGTGCCGTACAGCACTCTCTGGGTGGTTTATAATATAGAAGCATTACTTGAATATTTCCCCCAACATCTGGATCCTCATTTTACTGACTTCGGAAGGATGGAAGTCTGAGTCAATGGTGAGCCCTGTCAGGATCAAACTCCAGGCTGCAGACAGAGTTTGCCTTCAATACTACAGAATACAGAATAACAGTGTTGGAAGGGACCTTGGAGGTCTTCTAGTCCATCCCCCTGCCCAAGCAGGAGACTCTAAACCTTTCCAGACAAATGGCTGTCCACCATTTGAATGACTGGTTTAGGATAAATCAGCTTTATATGTTGGAAAATATTTTATCTTGTTTTGTTTTTCATCGTTTTTAATTTCAAAAGTTATATGGCACGCTGGACATAGATTGGGGCCTAGTGGGTGTTTGGGCACACGTGAGTGTGCATTTACACATTTTGGTAATCTTTGACAGTAAGCAAAACCTTAGTCCCTGGTGGGTAACTGCTGATAAATGTTTTATGGACTGAGTTTTGCCTGGTTGGACTGCCTGTTTGTCGTCGTCTCTTCCAAGTTTTTTGTTTATAAGTCTTTGTTTAAACAAATGAATCTATGCAAAAGGAACTCATTCTGCAGCTTCTTTAGTGCCTTGATTTCATTTAGACTGACAAATTCCAGAGAGCCAGCTGTGTTGGAACATTTTGCCTCTGACAAAGTTTGCCTCTAAACTGCAGCACAACATTACAGTTGATGGACACAGCCTTGTGTAGCAACGGGGTAGTTGAGATCTAGGTGGTGGTAGCTGCCTTTTCAACTATTCCTGAACTCTTTCTGAAGATAGAAGCATAAATATTATTATTTATTACTTAGCATATGATGAGAACATGACAAAAGAGAAATAAACATATACACACAATCCACATAATTATATACAAAACCTCTATGGGGTATGGCAGCGGCCTCATAACTGGATGTCCAGTTTAGCTGTCCAGGCAACCATCTCTGGTGTTGCTTCATTCCAATCTTCTAGGGAACCAGAGAACACACGTCCTGGGCAATCTTGCACAAGAGGTTTAATAGTTTGCATATCCGCACCACAATCACAACAAGGGGAATCTTTCCATCCCCATGGTACACGGCAGAGGCACTTCTTCCCGTACCACACCTAATTCTGTTCAATTTTGACCAGACAGAATGAGTCAGGTTAAAACCAGGTGGTTTGGTATAGAGGGATCACTAATGGTCAGATCACAAAAAAGTACCTTGGACCATTCCTCTCTCCAGGTATTCTCATGGATAAACAGGGTAGATGTTAAGAGAATAGCTGGTTTCCGTGCTGACTTACAGGATTTCAATTTTGTGATGGACTGTGCATTGCCCAGGAAGCATAAATAGAAGCAACAATTATCGAGCATTCGACAACTAGCCCCTCAGAGTTTAATTGATGCAGAACCTAACTTTCTGAGAATGTAGAGAATATCTGAAGTCCACAAGTCATAAAAGGGCCAAGTTTGAAGATCCCCTGATATAGACCAACACACTAACTTTATGAGCTATTGCTGTAAGTTTTCAATGACTGTTATAAGAGACCCCCCCATTACAGCAACATTCAGAGACAAATAAAATGTTATTCACATAATGTATAAAATTAAAACACCCTCATGTAAAACAGGGAAATGATGTCTTGCGATCATTTCTGTGAAAAGGACCTGTAATAAATGCCTTATTATTTATTAATATACCAGTCTATTAACTACATAAAAATTAGTAGAAAGTTAGTAGTGTGATGTGGCTGCACAAAGAGAGAGAGAGAGAGAGGGAGGGAGGGAGGGAGGGAGAGAGAAGACAAATGTCATTTTAGGCAACATCAGTGAATATTTCCAAAGTGCAAACTAATTGTTCTATTTTATTCTACATCATTATACACACGGGTGCCCTTTTTTAGTTCAGTTCTGGGCACCATATATCAAGGAAGTTTCAAGATAATATGAAAGAGATGTAGAGGAGGACAGCGATAATGATCAGGGAACTTGGGGAAAAAATTATATGAAGAGAGAAATTCTGGGAAATATTTGGAGAGAAAAAGTGAGAAGCAAAAGCTGATGGGATATGATCATAAACATGAAGTATATTACAGAATGTCATACAAAAGAAAGCCAGGATTCTTTTATCTAGCATCCAAGAATTTGATACTTAGAGTTACAGGAAAGTAGATACTAGTTAACTCCTACAAAAAAATTCCTAACAATAATAGCAAATAGATGTTTGAGCCAAACACCCGGAAAGTTTATGAAGTTTCCCTTCATGAAATACAAGTCCCTGTATTTTTCCTAGCAAGATTTTCAGAAAAGGTTTGCTATTGCTTCTTCTTAGGGGTTGAGAGAGAGTGACTGGCTCAAAGTCACTTCATGACCAAAGTGATATTAAAACTCATGATTTCCTGGTTTCTAGTCTTGTGCCTTTACCATTATTAGCTAGCAGTCATTGATGAAGGATGCTTTAATTTGGATTCCTGTGGGGAAACAGAAGTTGGATGGGTCCTACATGACCCCTCTACTTTACCTCTGTGGTTCCTGAATTGTATGATATTTGCATGACTCTTACTTCTGAAGGAATCCAAGTAGTATCCAACCAATGCAATGCAACTTTGCTTATTAAAATAAGAAATTAAATTAATTAAGGCAACCTACAGTAAAACAATCTGTCCTGAAACAAAACCATAACAGAAACAATAAATTACAACAACATTAATTTTAAAAGCAATCTAACAGCCAGTCTGTTCCTGTAAAGTTATTAGCCTGCAAGTGTCCCTGAAGACATTTTGGTGAAGTTCTCATGTGTAGCATGTAATTTTGGTTTTATTTTAGGATGATCTAAAAGGAAGGTTTCTGTCAGTGCTTTTCATTGCACAATCTTCTTTTCTTCCATCTACAGCAGGGGTGGGGAACGATGGGCCTTTTTAAGAGCAAGAAGTTTCTATGTCTTATTTTGATTACATTTTGCCAGGTGCAAATGATCAGGGCTATACACGAAGTTGTAGGTCAGAAGATTTAATGCTCGAGTCTATACACAAGAATCTAGTCGACTAATGTTCAGTGCTAAATTGCCACTAGATAAGGGTCAATGAAATTCAAAAAGGGCTGGACTTAGACCTTTTATGGAAACGTAATGACTCTAAGCTGATGATGCACCTAACTCCGCCCACCAGTTCTCTGTGCTCTTCTCCTACACATTTTACTGTTCTCCCCAAACTCCTGGACTTTTTAAACTTTCAGACTTCAACTCCCAGAATTCTTAAGCCAGCTATTGTGGAAGTCCACAAGTCATAAAAGGGCCATCGTTCCCCACCCCTGATCTACAGTCTCCCTACTTTCCTGTGCTTCCAATAAAGTCTCAAGTGCAGGAACTGCAAGGGAATTTCTCCACGGTTGTTTGCCCCAAATAAGAATTCCAAGGGTGATCACCTCTCCCCTTATCTTGCAAAAATTAAGCAAGCTCAGAATTATCACTAATGCAGACTTGCAAGCATCTGGTGAATACAAGAGAAAAACAGAAGCATCTTTTGTTGTGGGAGAAACTTCACCAGACACTGGAGGATTTATTTCAGCACAACATTCATACACATTCTCTAAAAGATTGATTTTTGAAAGTTTAAAGCAAGTGGCAGCTTTCCCTGAACAGCCAGCTGTGTTTGTCTCTTGACAAAGTACACAAAAGGCTGTGGACTGCTGTTTGAAAGCTAATTTACTTCAGTCATCATTTAAGAAAAGAACCCAAAGTTTTTTTGACCAACGCTAATGAAGAGGGGTTGTGGTTTTGTCTTGCAAAAAATGTGTCATGTGTGGCAAATAGAAGAGTTACTAGGGAGCCAACTGAGAGGCTTCCTATTGTTCCCGAGAAAGGTTTGTGGTAGCAAAATGTGGGAGATGGCCTTCCTGACCATCTGTGCCCTGGATTTGGTCTTCGTCATTCTTCCTCAAAGGGCCTGACCAACTTTTCCCAAACCAGCTCTCCTTTGAAGCTCGGTTCTGGGTAGTGTTCTGTTTTTTGTTTGATGGAGGCTAAAATCCATTCCAAACTGTAAGCCTGGTTTTATTTCATCTGTTTACCACAGTCTTCCCCAAACTGGATGTGTTGGGATGCACCTTCCAGGGTTCCCAGCCAGCAAGGCCTTGATAAAAGCCATGTAACTTGGAATTCTCTAAGTTGTAAATCTCAGCGTCCTGAGGATGTGCCAGGCTGGGACAAGCTGGTCTACAACATCAGGCTGAGACAAGCTGGTCTATAACAAGCCACATGTGAGTTGATCATGTCCATATTTCCTTTCCATTACACGATCATAAGCACAAACAGAAAGCTGGCATCTTTTCACAGGACAGGATATAGTTCAGGAGATGAGACAAGATGAGGCGAGGCAAGGCAAAGCAAGGCAAGGCAAGATAATCTTTATTGTCATTTTTTTACTATGGGCACACTGGCCCACATTAAAAATGAAATTCTGTTGTTTGCTCTCAAAAGAAAGTATATATCTACCCATATGTATATAGTACACAAATGATCATGCTACATATGCTATATACGTATAGCTACACCCATACATATTAATCACTGTCCATTTTGAATACATAGGGAGAAGAGGAAACTTGAGAGTTCACAAGGTTAATGCTGTATGGAATGAAACTATGATTGAATCTGGATGTTCTGCTTCGGATACCACGAAGTCCCCTTCTCCCGGAAGGGAACAAGGAAAACAGGTTGTAAAGAGGATGTGTAATGTCCCAGACAATCCCGCGTACCTTGCTCAGTTCACTTGTCACTTGTGTGTGAGGTGGATATGTGTTTTCTATTTGGATAAGATATTGGAAATTGCAACTCTTGAATCAGAAACCTTCTTCTGAATAGTACGGAGTAGACATTAACACAAGAGAGCTCAACCTTGAGCAATCCTCTGAGTAGCAAAGAAAGACTAGCTCAAGGTCCTGGAGAAACAGTTGAGACTTTATTTCTAGTTGTTCTTTTTCTTTTTTTAAGAAAAGCAAAAGTGAATTTGAAGCATATGAAACACGATCTACGAGGCAAAGCTTTACATACCTGAAGGACAGAATCATTTGTCTTCACAACCGCCACTCCTGATGGTAACCTGACAGACTGAATCCTGGTGACACAAGCTTGGGGGGGGGCACACAATTCTTGAAATAATTAACCCCCACCCCCCAGATCTTCTCACACATGACTTCCCTTGGAGAATGTACCCATCTTAGTTTTCACTTTTTTTCTTTTTTTTGTTCTTCTTCTGTATTTTGGATCCTTTAGCCTTGCTTGAGAGTGTTGGAAGATTTTTCAAGGAGTGCCCACACAGTTTTGCTTGTGTAACTAAGGGACTAAAGCCATTTGTAAAGCTATTTTTTTTCCAGATCACCACTAAAGGGCTAAGAAAAGTTAATGGAACTTTTTATCAATTTCTGCTCCAGACTTTAACCTACTCCCGTCCTCCAAGATTTCTGTTCAATGTAAAATGGTGGTTTCTAATGTAAGAGTATACTCCCTACTGATAAATGGCTCCATGTTCATAAGTTTTCTGCCCCACTTCCTTGATCCTTAATGTAGCAGAAACCACCACACAATTATGGAGTGAGTTTCTTTGCCCTAATCAGGTCCCTCCATTGACCCAGATTTCACAGTGATTGGATTCACTCCGTGAATGGCTTAGCCATGAACTAGCTACAACATCCAGATTCCCACAATGCAATCTAAGTATATTATGGTATGTGTGTAGCCACCTTGATGAGGAGTCATTAGCAGTGAAACTAAGTCCATTGATTACATTGCCTGTGACGGCTCCTCCCAAAGTGACGATTTCAAATTCAGTTCAAAAACAAACTCATGAAAATCAAACCCCTATAAAATCTATTCTTGCCAAATAATCTGATCACTGTATTATAAACATCAGAGTAGCTAAAGAACCATTTCAGCTTCATGGACCATTTTGGTGGTCACCTTCATTAGCACAGATTCCCCCCCTCCCCTTCACTTTATTTTGTGAAAAAAGCATAGATTTTTTTTAAACAATGACAACAATCAAACTTCCATTGATAGTTGAGACAAGTTTCCTTTCTGCAAGAGGAATAAGACAACAAGTTTGTCATCTGCAATGAAGCAGGGGGAAAATGCCCCTATAATCTCTTTTGGTTTTGATGATTTGAACAAAACCTGGATGATAGGGGGAAAAAAGAGTGTGTTTTGTAAACATAGAATACAAGACCTTTTTGTAATTGCACTTATATTTGCTGCAATCAGAAGCTATTTATTTCTATTTTATTTTTCTTTCTTTCTTTCTTTCTTTCTTTCTTCCTCTTTATTATCTTTATTCTTTATTATTTGAGTTATGAGATAACTTCATAGATTATAGCTTCTTAGATTTGCTTGACTGAAGCGCCCGAAAAGCATTTATAATCTGCAAACTTTTAATTGGGGCGCAAAGAACCAAGACTTGGAGGATTTCTATTTTATTTTTCTTTCTTTCTTTTTTCTTTCTTCCTCTTTATTATCTTTATAATATATATATATTATTTGAATTATGAGGTAACTTCATAGATTATAGCTTTTAATTGGGGCGCAAAGAACCAAGACTTGGAGGATTTCCGGGTGCATCTTCATATCATCCTTACTTTCAACAGGTTTTCTCTGGGCTTTCAGTCTTGCCTCCATTTTGGCAAGTTTTGCCATAAAGGACCGAGTCTTACTGAGCCTCCAACGCTTGGGCCTGAAGAGGTAGGAAGAGGAGAAAATGGTCCATAAAATTTCCATTACTCCCCAAAACAGAAACATCTGCTGAAGAGTGTAAATTGACACTTAGAAATGGTGTTTACCAGCTAAGCATTGGCGTCAGATCTCTTTAGGACCTGGACAGAGAGAGTTGGCTCCATGCCCCATGGATTTACCGGTTCAGTGGTTCCTTCCGTATTGCTGCCCCAGGGTTTTCTCAGTACAGCCAAAGTTTGCTCCACGATGGCCTTGGGTTTTTCACATACCAGGGAGATGTTTTCCACATCTGGCTGAGAAAAATCCTGCAAGGCTGTGGCTGACATGAAGAGCTGGTTCTAATAATGAACGTTATGCAAAATCTAGCCTACAACACTCAATTTGCATGCTAATTCTTTTTTTTCCCCCTTTAAATACCCATCCAGAAAACAATGTTAAGGAAACATAAGCTGGGTTTTGTCAAAGGGTTGGGATGAAGTCATAGCAGAGTCTCCAGAAAGATCTCTGGAGTACAACTGACCAGCACTCTGACCATCCTTGAGTCCAGCAGAACAGGGTGAGCTTCCTTCAGATTATTTTGGGAACTGGCTGAGATGTCTTGGTAAAATGTGGAAAAATTCAGGTATTTTTTCTCAGAGCTCAGATCTCTTATGTCTCAGGTAATTTGCCCTGATCGGAAATTATGGAATAGTTCACAATTGCTCTGGAGAACCTTCTCCCCTTGAGGTGAATTTTGGGAGTGGAAGAGTAACCTGTTTTTTTTTTTTTCTGTAGAAAAAAAAATATTATGAGCTGCCAGTTTATATCTTACCTATCCATAAATGATTCAGAATCCCCCTCCCCTCCTCTCCCCTCCCCTCCTCTCCTCTTCTTCTATCCCATCCCATCCCATCCTCCTTTATTCTTCCATCTGTATCATTAGGTGTTTGTCATTAAATACTGTGGCAAAAATTCAGTTTGGTGACTAGGATGGTGAGAGAACTTATTCCCAGTATCAAACTGCTCAGACTGAGGAAAATTCAGATTGATGGATTGGCTCTTGAGAAGTAAATGATTCTCGGGCCAAAGAACTTTTTGTACCTCCATTCTAATGACAGTTCTCTGCTGTACGGTTGTCCATCATGCAAAAAAAAAAAAAAAGCAAAATCAAAAAAAAATCCCCAGATGCCTAGTTTGCAGGATGTTTACTCCAAGCGCTTGAATAAACATACCAAGAGGGATAGTATCAAGATCACATGAAGTGATAATACTGCTTTATACTGCACTGGTAAGACCAGACTTAGAATACTGCATCCAATTCTGATCACCACAAAACCAAAAAGTTTTTTTTAGATTACAGAAAGAGTTCAGAGAAGAACAACAAAGATGATTGCATGTGTGTGTGTGTGTGTGTGTGCAGGATAAAATATACAACGAACAGTTGGAGGAAGTGGGTATATCTAAAGAGAAGGACTGGGGTGACACAATAGCAGTCCTCCAATATTTGAGGGACTGTCCCAGGGAAGAGGGGTCAACATATTCTCCACTTGAAGATAGAACAAGAAGCAACAGAAGGGAACTTATCAAAGGGAGCTCCAACCTAGAATTAAAGAGAAATGTCTTATCCTTGAGTACAATTAATCAGTGGAACTTGCTTGTCTCTAGAAGTTGTAGGTGCTCCATCCCTGGAGGTCTTCAAGAAGGGGCTGGACAACCATTCGTCTGGAGTGGTATAGGGTCTCCTGCTTGAGTAGGGGGTTGGAGTAGAAGACCCCCAAGGACCTTCCAATCCTGTTGTTCTATATTCCCCAACCTTTTGGGCACCAGGGACCGCTTCCATGGAGAGAGGTTTTTCCGTGGACCGGAGAGTGTGTGGTTTTGTGTGCTGCCTGCATCCTGCAGATGGGGCTTTGCTTGTTTGTGCCGACCGGTTGCTGGCATGCTGCGGCCCAATACTGGTCCATGGGCCAGGGGTTGGGGACCCCTGCTATATTCTATTCTGTATTCTGAAGGGCACAGTACGTTAGCTGCTTTCTCTGTGGCAATATTTGTTTATAGTTTGGTTACTGGGTTAGTAAAGAAATCATGTTCAGGTAAACACAAAATGATGTTTTATTGTGAACATACCTTAGATAAAGGTTGATACAACTATTTGCAATTCTGGGATTACACCAATGAAACTTAGCCTGATATATGTTTTTAACTTCCCCAAAGTCTGAGTATGCAAAAACCACAGGTATTCATGCCAGCGTGAATGAATTAACGTGTGATATTGACGCCAAGGATTGCTTTGGCTTATATACCTCAAAAAATGAGTTACCTTTCTAGTCTCAAATTCTCCACTGGCTCCAGCCGAAACGAAAAACCCCAAAACAACAACAACAACAAAAAAGGATCCCCTATGGGAAAGAGAACCATCAGGTGATACAAACCAGCTCCGCTCAACATCCGGTCTCAGTTGAACAGCAGTCATGAAATGAAACGTGGTTCTGTTGCAAAGGAACTGGTTGAAATTTTTTTACTTGCGCATTTAAGCGGGAGGTTTTCCTCCTGCCAAACAAATAGGCACAAACGCTGTTTTCTGCCAGTGGTTTACTGTTAAACATCTGTTGTTGCTGTGAGTGTTAGTCTGTCAGACTGTAGAGAATTAAAGCTAATCTGTTATGTTCTGAAGGACCATATGAGAAAGCTTTAGAGGATCTGCATTATTCCAGAAAGCAGCTGGAAAAAATGGCGTTTTTAATTCCCAGTGTCCATTTTCTTTAACATATGTTATTTGCGTGGTTGTGTGTGTGTGTGTGTGTGTGTGTGTGTGTGTGTAAGAGAGAGAGAGGGAGAGGGAGAGGGAGAGAGAGAGAGGGGGGGGGAACTGACCAGCTAGAAGAGGCTGATGTCAAAGTCACTTTAAAACTAGATTCTCATATCACATTTTATGTCATGCTGTTGAACAGTAAAAGTTAGGTTTACAAAATATAGGAAGCCAAAACTAAACAAACTATATTATGGAATAGCTTGTTCTTTAAACTCATAGACACACACAAATAATTGAACAAACATTTATTGAATTAATCCAACTGTCTAAGTTCATACCTCGCACTGAGCTAACAGCTTCCTTCCTTCCTTCCTTCCTTCCTTCCTTCCTTCCTTCCTTCCTTCCTTCCTTCCTTCCTTCCTTCCTTCCTTCCTTTTCCTCCTCCTCTTCCTCCTCCCTTTCTTCTTCCTCCCTCTTTCTCTTTTTCCTTCCTTCCTTCCTTCTTTCTTTCTTTCTTTCTTTCTTTCTTTCTTTCTTTCTTTCTTTCTTTCTTTCTTTCTTTCTTCATTGTTGACTCCTGTTGATTGCCTGGACAAGTCCCTGCAGTTTTGGCAAGGTTTTTCAGAAGAGACTTGCCATTGCCTCCTTCCTAGGACTGAGAGAGAATGGCTGGCCAAGGCAGAACTAGAACTAGCCTTCTGGTTTCTAGCCTGATGCCTTCACTACCACACTTTAAACTGGTTCACTTTAGAGCTGCATTTTAGCTTAGTGTATTATGCACAGTCAGGTTATGTGTCGATTAGACTTTTCTTTGGCATGACCCTTTTGCCTGGGCTAAGCTCTGTATTCAGTAGATGCAGTAATACTCAAATTGTGATTTCCACATCCTGCAACTTGGAATGGGACATTCCAGGAAAGATAGGACAGCTTGGTTTCTGCTAATTTGGACC